CTGGTGGAGCCCTCGCTACCTTCGCGGTCCATGTCGAGGGCTCCGTGCATCGCGTGGTCGAGCTTTCCGCCTAGCTGCTCCATTGTGCGGAAGAACTTCATGGCTATCTCGCCTTCAGCCAACTTTTTGGCTTCGGCTTCTTGCCGGTCTTCCGGACGAGGGCAGTCCGCCGGCACAAGCAGGTCGGCGATGTACAGCGAGACGATCCCGCGCAGCCGCTGCAGCTCGGGGCTTCGCGAGAACGGCAGACTGTCCAGTAACTTGTCCATGCGCGAGGCGAGATCGCGCATCCCGTCAAGGGTCTTGGCACGGATCTCGTCTCGCGCCTGGCGCATTCGCTTTTCGCGGGCGTCCACCAACGCATCGAGCCCGCGAGGCCTGCCTCTGGAACTGTCGTCCGGGTGGAATGGGTCTCTGTCTTCCGAGTCGAATTCATCGCCAGCCTCCTCATTGTACATGTCCATATCCGGGTCCGTCTCCCATCTCTCCGCGTCGGCACCTAGGTCGTCCAGTGCAGCGGTGTGTTGGGCGTGCATCTGGCTGATCTCGTAGCTGACCTGCGCCGGCCAGAACTGCAGGGCCGAAGCTGCCTTTCTCGCGCCGAGATGGTGGGGGTAATTCCGAATGAGGCCCTGAAAGTATTCCTTGACCTGCGGCACATTGGAGATCGGATAACGGTGCTGCTGCTTCTTGCGGCGCCGCTCTCGGGACATGTCACTGTCGTCCGTCGGCGCCCAAGCCGCGTTCTCCTCCGACACAGGCTCGCGCATGAGGATCTCAGCACCAAGTTCCCAGTAATGATTGCGCCGAATATCGACCGGCTTTCCAGAGACATGAGAGCGCATGAGAAGGCCAAAGGCGCGCTTGGCGGCGAGGATGTCGCCACGGGCGAGGAAGACGGCGATAGAGCGAGCCAAGGGCTGAAGAGCGGCCCGCTCCGCTGCATACGACTGGGGTTTGGGGAGGGACGATTCGTGCCCTGATTCGGCTTCTGTCTCGAAATCGGTCTCGGCGCGGGAATCCTCTGCGTCTGTGTCTGTATCGGCAACAGGGGCGGTGGAGGGGGCTTTCCACCGGCGAGGCTTTTGTCGTCTCCTGGTGTCGCGATACGGACGATGAGGAAATCCAGGCTGCAGAAGTGATGGCAGTCGATCATTTTCGGTGAGACCGGCGGCCAGTAGTTGCTTCAGATTGCCGGGAGTGTGACTGAGGGGGTTGATGATAGCGTCTGGGAGGCGGGTGACGACAGGAGGGCTGCTGTTAGGGGATGAGGGCAAGCTGGCGGTTCTCTTGCGTTTCCGATGGGCGCTTGAAGATTCCATGGTGATTGGATGCGAGATTTCAGGAGTGCAAGGTCAAAAAATGCGTTTGACGTACTCGCCTTGCCGACACTGGCAAGGACATGGGCCAGGCAGGCAGATCCCTAAGAGAAGTAGGTAGTTGACGATTTGATGGCGTGACTGGGATTACTGCTGCCGTGGGTATGGAGCTGGCGGCCTAGACAACGCAATAAACAACGGCTGACATCCCAAAATCATTTCATTTGACCAGAGAAAACACAGCTTCCCGGGCTGGCGTACAGTTGCCGACGTGAACAGCAGTGTTGATGAGTTGAAGATTCAGGCGATGATTTTGAGAGGGTGGATATATCAGGAGGCCATGGGTGTGTCTTTAGCAACATATCGAGTGTGCCAGAGTGGTGTGTCGGGAAAAGCCACAGTTTAGCCGCCACTTGTGGTGTGGGGCATTCCCAACGACATGGATGAACACCATGTATCTTGGACCTTGTGCATCCATTGCTTCTGTCTTATCATCCATCCATTACAAATTACATATATCGAGGGCTCGCTCTTTGTGGCTTCATAGACCGCTTGTGTTATTGATATCAAAGTATCCCTTAGGTGGCCCCACGCGGTCGTTCTCATCCACCGTCGCGATGGGCGACACTAGAAATGACAAGGCGTTCAAGTATCGCCAGGAGATCAGTCAGGTAGGCACCCCACGCACCCTGTTCGTCAATTCTGTACCACCGCAAATGCGCCTGTACTATGTTCCCTGGAGGCATTGGGAGTGAGCCTTCGAATGCGCGTCGTGCCGTTAGTGGGTTGATCAGGAGATCACTCAGCGCAGTGTGTCTGGCCGCTTGCTTCGACTCTGTCCTTGTGTCCTCCCCGGTATCACTAGGTGATCCATGACATGCCAGGATCAAGAGGTGGTATAGTGAGAAATGCCAACGTCGATATGTGGCCCAATCACTGCTGCGGCAACGAAGCGGTTTGTTGTGAGTTGGACTGCCAAATAGAGGATGCTTGTCACGAGAAGGCCCTTCACAAGTCACGTCGAAAGTCGAGCAACAGTATTCAGGTCGGATATTTGTCGCTGCCTAAACCATTCATCGACGCCTATTCGAAGCACCTGCCGCTGTTGACTTCACACTCGGGGGGCCTACCATTCAAAATGGCCATGCCGAACAGGGATACGCATGCCGTCAGCTCGACAACGCCGACTAACACCAACAACACCAACAACTACCACTTTCCGGTGGCTTGTCACCAGGCCAAGCGGATATCTTGGACATTGGCCGTCAAAATTCTCACGTCCCTAACCGGGGACAGCCCCTCGTCAGCCCACGCTGACCTGGACGCTGATCCATTTCAACGACGTCTTCTTTAAACACCTCTAGAACCAACTCTTCGCTCCACAAACGAGTGTTAAAAACGGTTGAAGGGTTGTACTCTCATTGAAGGATCATAGAATTTCCTCGCAGAAGTCCGACAGTCACCATGAGTGGCATATCCAACCAAGGCCTGATCGACTTACCCGCAGACGCGACGCCTAGGCCTGGCCCGAACCACCCCAATCCGCGGCCTGGATCCTCAAGAGGGAAGCGCAAAGGTCGCCCTCGTGATGCCAGGACTCTGGCCCTGGCACGTAGTCAGGTGCAGCACGGAGCAGGCGAATTGTTCCAGACAGCATTTGACGATACGGTCGGCGCTTGCTTCCACTCTGGCTTCCAGTCAATCGACAACGTCGCGGTGTCAACAGACGGCCCTCCACCTAGCGACTTGAGCACAGAGCCTCAGGAGCTTACACTGGTCTATCATGACATGCGAATCCACTTGAACGACATTTCTTTCTCGTCTGACGACTCGTTCTTGTTTGATGAAGAAACGGCTGAGGATTTCCGAGTGCGGCTTACTGACGTATTCCAACAGATGATGTACGTCTCTGGCGAGACTGCTGAGCCTTCTGTCGAGACAACAAATATAATAGAGGGCATCGTGCGTGAGCAAGTCGTCGAGCTAGTAAGTCATCATTAACACGCAGCAGGTTCAAGGTTCAACATTAACTGTCCCAGCTCAAACAATGCACTGACCAGGCGGCCCGCCGTGGATCTCGGTCTATCAATATCAACGACTTGATCTTCCAGATCCGCCACGACACCGCAAAAGTCTCTCGTCTCCGTACCTTCCTCTCGTGGAAAGACGTTCGCAAGAACGTCAAGGACTCCGACGACAAGGGTGGAGACGCCGACCTCGGCGCCGGCGAAGATCCCGTCGGCGGCGTTGCAGCCGGCGGCCCGGTGGATGATGCCGCAAAGAAGAACAAGAAGGCCAAGGTCGGACTTCCCTGGGAGCCGTCATCGTTCTACCCTGTCGACGTACCCGAGCGTGACGACGAGGAAGACGAGGAAGAGGAAGAGATGAACTTTATCACTCTTCAGCGCCTGCGTAAGGCTGATGAACGCACGAAAGCCATGACAAAGGAAGAGTACGTTACATGGTCCGAGTATCGACAGGCGTCGTTCACATACCGCAAGGGCAAGCGGTTTCGCGAGTGGGCCGGCTTCGGCATCGTGACGGATAGCAAGCCGTCGGACGATATTGTAGACATTCTCGGCTTTCTGACGTTTGAGATGGTGCAGACGCTCACGGAGGGAGCGCTCAAGGTCAAGGAGCAGGAGGATCTCGTCAAGGCGCAGAGCGGTGGCGGCGGCGGAGTCGACGGCGAGGGCGCATCGAAGAAGCGCAAGGCGCAGCAAGGTCTCTTTGATCCGCCCAGCGAGGGAAAGACGCCCATTGAGCCGCGACACGTCCAGGAGGCGTTCCGACGGCTTCAGCAGCGGCCCAAGAAGATCAGGGCCATGCTCAACGGCTCAAGGCTGCCGATACACACCACTCTCAACATTGTGAGTTGGCCAATCTGTTCAACCTTGGTGACCCACGTTGACTGACCATTTGCAGATCTGAAGACAGTGGCGGACCGGTTTGGTTCGGGCGTTTGGGCTTGGTTCAGTCTGGTTTGTACAGAGGGGAGATACCCACGGCCCTTGTATAGGGATTAGCGTTATTCGTTCAACGTTGGCTGATGAAGGTGGTGGTTGCTCGATGAGAGGTCAGGCTAGGCTTGTGCGACTTTGGATGGGGAAAGCAACTTGCACCATTCTATTTATGCTTGATTTGGGATATGCTCCAGGGATCGAGTCGCGATGCAACGGTTTCACTTGAACAAGTTCATCTCTAGACTCATCGAGTTTGGGCGTCTAACTAGTCCAGTTTCTATTTTGAGCCAAGCCACAGGTAAGGCTACTGCTCTCCTCAGGTCTCTCTGCCTACAGTCGAGCCATCCATTGCTCCACTTGGCGCCGCCAAAAGTGGCAGCCTGAGACTCTCCTGCTAGATCAGCCATCTATAGACAGCTCTGTTCAAGGTGGTCAAGGCAGCACGTGTGATTTCGTCGTTCTGAAGACCCCAGCCGCGGGCACTGTGGGTTTTGCTGGTTCTGTGCACAAGTCCATGCCGCTGCCAGCTCGGCTTCCGTAGCCGACTCAAGGCCGTTGGCCTCGAGGCTTGGCGCGGCGATCGGCATCCGTGCCGTGCTGTACGTTTCCGCCGCATGCATGACAGGTATCGCGGGTTCAGACGGAACTTGACATGGACCCAATCGGACGCCTTTGTGTAGTTTGATCAACTCATGGCATCATGTCGAGAGTCCATCACTCACGACGGCGTCGCCATGCGCGTCTTGAGCATCCCCAGCTCCGAGCTCTTGGCCCACGCCCCCTGCGGCGTCTGCCGGTAGAAGACCAACTTGCCGTCGTCGCCCGTGCTGCCGAGGATCTGGCCGTCGTCGTCAAAGTCGACGCGCCACACGGGCGTCCGGTGACTGTCGAGTTTGGCGACCTCGCGCACGACGTGCGCCACCTGGCCCGGCTGGCCCGACGACTGCCGCTCGGCGGTGGCGCCCGACTTGGCGAGGCTCGCGCTGAGGCCGGACTGGTGCTGGTGCTTCTCGTGCGAGGGGCCGATGGCGGCGGTGAGGGCCTCGCCGCCCGCGCCCGCGCCAGCACCGCCGCCGTTCTGGGTCTCGCGGCGGACGAGATCGGCGGCGGCCCATGTCTTGCCGTCGTTCTCATTGTAGGACGTCTCGACGCGGAAGACGCGGACGTAGCCGTCCTGGCAGGCGGAGGCGATGGTGTCGTAGCCGCGGACGTTGCCGGGGGCCCAGGCAATGTCGCGGACGAGGCCACGATGGGCGCCGGGGCCAATCTCGGCGGCGAGGTAGAACTCCTTCTGAGCTTGCGGCACGCCATAGGAGGCTGTGATGATGTCGCGGGAGCGGTAGAGCTTGACGGTGCCCATGGCGGCAACGACAAGGGCGAGAGAATCGGTGGGAACGCCGGCGCGCAGAGCGGTGTAGCAGGGGTCAGGGTTGGGGTCGAACTCGACCTTGAAGCTGACCTCTTCGCCGCGCGCGGGCTTGGGGGCGACGGCAAAATCGTCGATGAGCGTGTACTCGGACAGGTTCTCGGGCTGATCGTTCTCGTAGACGGAGAGGCTGCCGTCGGCGGCGAGGAGGGCAAGGTAGGTGTGGCGTGTCTCCTCGTTGTGCTTGATGGAGAAGGAGCGGTAAGGGGCCTTGTTGGAACGCGTCTCGAACGCGGGCTTGCCGGAGAGGGTACGAGAGGATCCAGCGCTGAATCGGCGGCCCGGGGCAGCGGACGGGTCTTCGGCCCAGAGCTTGAAGCGGCCGTAGCCACCGAGTGAGGCCAGCAGATTCGGGTAGACGGTGGGAGGAAGCCACTGAAGCTCCAGAGTCTCGCCGCCGTGCGCGCCCCAGGTGTCGCAGAGGCGCCAGACGCCGTCCTTGTGGCGATTGAAGACTCGAATCTTGCCGTCGACGGCGCCGGTCGCGCAGCGATCGCCATAGGCATTGAAGGCGACGGATTGGACTAGGTCTCGGTGGCCGTGGGAGAGGTTGAGGTCGAACCCGGCGCGCTCTTCGGCGACAAACGGCGGTTCTGGGGGATGAGCCATTGCGTCGGCTTTGTGACGATGGTGATGTCGGGGATCAATGACCGAGGTTCCTGGAGGTGCAGGAGAGAGCAGCAGCTGCAGCTGTTGGAGCTCAATTGACAGAGGTGACGGACGTCCAGTTGTAGCTTGTAGCTTGGGATGGAACCCCACGCTGCAGGAGCCTCGACGCACAGGCCTCGTGACGATATGAACCCTGTGGGTTCAGGAGGCTCTAGAGAGACCCTCATGAACCCCCATCAGATGAACCCTCATACGTGAAGTAGACCCTCCCTGTGACGATGATCATTGGGAAGCCCTCAGCCTTGTCTGTCCGTTCCTTCAGACGCATATCACGTTCATTCTACATCAAAGGCTTCAAACACTCAAAGACACGCGAGATCATCTTTGGCATAATATACCCCTTAGACATAGAGCACCATGAAGGGCCCCTCCATAGCTGCGAGCATCCCCCGATTGAAGCTCTCCTCCGGCCATGTAAGCCACCCTCCATGCTCACCAAGTCCATACTAACATTCTTTCCCAAGTACATCCCTCAAGTCGGCTTCGGCCTGTGGAAGGTCCCAGCGGCCCAGACCGCCGACGCCGTCTACGGAGCCATCAAGGCCGGTTATCGCCACATCGACGGCGCCTACGGCTACGCCAACTCGGCCGAGGCAGGCCAGGGGGTCCGCCGCGCGATAGCCCACGGGCTCGTAAGCCGAGACGACCTCTTCATCACGTCGAAGCTGTGGAACAACCACCACGCGCCAGCGCACGCGACGCGCATGGCAAACGAGGAGCTCGGCGCCTGGGGCCTCGACCACCTCGACCTCTACCTCATCCACTTCCCCATCGCGACGCAGTGGGTCGACCCCTCCGTCTCGCGCTTCCCCTCGTGGCACGCCGACGCCGCCAAGACGCGGCTGCACCCGCGCGCCCGCGTGCCCCTCGCCGACACGTGGCGCGCCCTCGAGGCCCTCGTCGACGCGCCGGGCGTCCGCGCCGGCCCCGTGCGCTCGATCGGCGTGTCCAACTTTGACGCCCAGCTGCTCTACGACCTGCTGACCTACGCGCGCGTCCCGCCCGCCGTGCTGCAGGTCGAGCACCACCCCTACCTCGCGCAGCCGCAGCTCGTGGCCGTGGCGCGCGAGAGCGGCGTCGCCGTCACGGCCTACTCGACGTTCGGCCCGCAGTCGTTCCTCGAGCTCGGCAACCCGCGCGCCGCCGCCGTGCCGCCGCTCATGGAGGTGCCCCTCGTCAAGGCCATCGCTGCGAGGCATGGCCGGACGCCGGGCCAGGTGCTGCTGCGGTGGTGCACGCAGCGCGGCATCGTCGTCATCCCCAAGTCGATGCGGGCCGAGAGGGTGCGGGAGAACCTCGACTGCTGCGGGTTTGACCTCGAGGCCGGGGAGCTGGACGCCATTTCGGGACTGGATCGGGGTTTGAGGTTTAATGATCCGGGCGTGACGCATGGCGAGTCTGTCAGGATATTCGCTTGAAGAGATGCCAACGAAGGAGAGGGGAAACCCTACGGTCCCAGCGTGGCCATGTCTAGACAGATGTAGAATCAGACGAACTAGTGGGCACTTTCACGACGATGGCGCAAGTACGTTATCATCATGAAGAATCTTGATTCAAGCTTCAACTCCATACTTGGGATGTTTGCCTCAACGCTATCTAATCTAATGCAATGCCCAACGTTCCTGACTCACCTTTTGACCGTCTGCCTCGCTCAGCCGACGAAACTTACCTGACAACTCTCTTCCAGGCATCCCAGCCTGTTCCTCGAGACCCCTTCACATCAAGAAGACGCCGCCTCCGTGTCCCCCTTGTTCTCTTTGAAAGCCTCCGCATCAGCACCCTTCCCCGGCCCCTGCTTTCCTTTTTTGACGCTCCGCCACTCGACGCACAAAGCACACGCCAACGTCACCAACGCCAGCCCCATGCCGGCCAAGAAGATCCTCGTACACGCAAAGTTGTACGCTGCGACCACAACATCAAAATCCTCTGTGGGCACGACATCGTGCAGATCCGTTGCGCCGCTCTGCACAATCGCATCGGGGTCTAGGCCCGGCACGCTCGATAGGCGGTCAACGAGGAGGTTGCTGAGAATGGCCTGCCCCACGGCCAGGAACACGGCGCCGCCAAGCTGCTGTCCGAAAAAGGTAATGGCCAGACCGGTTGATACATCCTCGCGCGGCAGGACCGTCTGCACGGCCAGGCCGACCGTCTGCATGCCGAAGCCGAGGCCGAAGCCCGTGAGGAACTGGAAGCCGACCCAAGCGGCCGTACTGCTGCCGGGGTGGAAGGTGCTCATGAGACCGAGACCGACGGCCATGACGGAGGGGCAGAGGAGCATAGCGGGGGTGTAGTAACCGATGCGCTGGGTGATCAGCCCCGACATGATGGAGGAGGCGACGAGGCTGAGGACGAGTGGGAGGGTGTAGATGCCTGACTGGACAGGATCGAAGCCTTTGACAGTTTGAACTGGACTTGGTTAGCCAATGATCGATCTGCAAGGGGGCCGAAGAGAACTGACACCACAAGGGCACATAGTAGACTGCCAGCATCATGGAGCCGGCGAGGAACATCATGAAGAAGGTGCCAGCGAGGACGGTTCGTTGGGAGATGATGCGCACGGGGACCTGAGCTGTGTCGGGCATGAAGATCTGGATAGCAGCAAAGGCAGCAAAAGCCAGGGCGAATACGACAAAGAGGGCGATGATACGACCGTTGCCCCAAGCGTACGTCGCGCCACCCCACTGCAGGGCCAGCAGGAGGGCGACGATGGAAGGGACGAAGAAGAAGGATCCCAGGGGGTCGAGGCGGGTGATGTGCCTGGTCAACGACACGGGCGTCGAGGGCTTCTGGGGCGCCTGGAGCATCAAGAAGAGGAAGATAAAGGCGACACCTCCGATGGGCAGGTTCATGTAGAAGCACCAACGCCAGGTCGCGTTTCCAGCGAACGCGCCGCCGACAAGAGGCCCGAGGACAGCAGCGACGCCGAAAACCATGCCAAAGACGCCCTGGAACATGGGCCGCTTGTGGAGGGGAACGATGGTGATGAGAATCATCATGGAGCCGGTGAAGATGCCGGCGGAACCAAAGCCGGCAACGGCGCGACCCGTGATGAGCACCGCCGAGTTGGGAGCAACGCCGCACAGGAGGGAGCCGATCTCAAAGACGACAATGCTCGCGAGATAGACGACCTTGGGGCTGTAGAACTTGTAGATGCGACCGAAGAGAAGCTGGGAGGCGGCGGTGGTCAGCATGTAGGCCGAGCCGTACCAGCCAATGTCACCGAGGGACTGGAACTCGTCGGTGATGCGAGGGATGGCGGTGGCGATGATGGTGCGATCGAGGGCGACAAGAAACATGGCGACAAAGTTCGAGGCCATGATGAGCCAGAACTTGAGCGTCTTGGGTTGGTAGTTCGTCTCGGCCTCATCTGTGGGTGGGCCGGCGGCAGTGAGAGGGCGAGCAGGCGGTCCATGAGAGCTGACAGTCGGGGAGCTAACGGTTGGGGAGCCGACAGTCGAGGACCTTGAAGATCCCATGGTTGTGTGCTTCTCGTCCACCACGTCGAGACTCGACTTATGCTCGGTCGGTATCGTCGTCATGAAAGCTATTGGCCAAGATCAAGACCAAAAAAAAAAAGGCGAGGTCAGAGAGGTGCAGGAGAGAACAAGTTCGGCCCGCATGAACGACAGCCAGCAGCAGGAACGGAGGAAGCAGACGGCGTCAAGTGGGTGTGTTTGGATTGCTATGAAGACTAGTGACAAGGCCAGACGCCGGGGCAGGGAATGAGATAGAGGCAAGAGAGGCTGAAGCGTATACATATAGATGCTCCCTTACCTTGCCTGCAGCATCGGAAGGCAGATCCCCCGTCGGGGCTCCGTAAAGGTTGCCTGTCGACGACGAGGGGTCATACGGCTCGCCGTCGGGTGGCAGAGACATGGTGAGGTAACCGAGCGGGTATCGAGAAGGGTCTGGATGATTGATGCCTGCTGATTCACGGATGGAAAGAAAAGAGGACGGAAGTCTGGGCGAGACAGAGTGCTGGTTCGGGACATGACATGAGGGAAGGAGTGGTACGTGGGTTAGGGGACTTGTAGTACGAAGATACCTAGATTTGACGATGAACGAGAACGACATGTTCTGGGTTGAGCCACATACGAGTGGAGGGGGGACGAGTGTGCCGTGTATTCACTGGTGTGGCGTCGGGGCACCAGACCTAAGGGGGCTTAGCGGGATCGAACCTCCAGGCCTGGCTCGGTCCCGAAGGAACACACAAGTAACCGACATTCCCCATGTTTGCCCATGATTGCCTGGACCGTACCTTTTTCTACCCGACACACCGCCGCCGCCTTGACTTGGACACTTCGGGACCGAAACTTTCCTCTTCCCTCTCACACGAGCTTGGCAATCTCGCCATTGATGCAGGCGCGCGAGAGCCACAGCAGAACGAGGCACCGAAAACGTGCCCACCAGTGCACAAGAGGCGCCACGACAAGGCCGGCCAGCCAGCGAAAGCAGAGGCCACACAGCCATTCCATCAAACCGGGGGCAAATCCGATCAGGCCATCATCTCATCTCACCTGGGCCCTTCGTCGGCCTGCCTGCCTGTTTGCCTTCCCTTTTCGGCGAAAGGATCGGGTTCGCTTTGAGCTGACCGTGCCTACACCGGCTCTGGTCTGTCCAGCTCTGCCTACCTACCTAGGCACCTTAGGTAGCCTCAGATAGACGTCGACTCGCCCCTCCGTCGAACATTCCATTTCTGCCATCAGATATTAGGCGACAGATAGAGAGAGATCAGGCGGACAGACAGGCGACAGACGGCAGAGGGATCATCGAGCGCAACAGAAGACGCACTCGATCGATACCTGAACCCCCAGCACGTCACGTCGCCCGCATCCCGCTGCATGCCTTCGTCCTTGCTCGCCAATCACTCTTTGACTGTCGACTCTGCGGATACCCGCCGCCCTCACGAGCCCACTGGTCGTCGTTTTGCCAATCCACTCTTCCTGTTCCTGTACGACATTTCACCCCAGACTCTGCACGCCCAAGCCAGCCCTGCAGCTTTGGCATTGAGTCAGGAAATCCCCATCCACCATCCACCACGTCGTCGTCCAGTCTTCAGCGAGCGCGAGCTCCTCCTGCCCATTCATCCTCGGGACCGAGATCGATCGTCGCGCCGGCTCCACTCGCTCGACGCCGCCTTGCTCTGCTGGGCAATCCCATCCGCGTCAATCTCTCACTGACTGATCTGAATTCCCTGTCTGCCACGCATCGCACCCCATCCGCGCGCAGCCCCCGAGGACTGTCCACCATGTCGGGCCACGACCCTGACCAGGGCCCCAGCCACGGTCCATACCACGGCCAAGACCATGGTCAAGCTCATGCTCAGGCTCATGCGGCTGCTCCCGCTCAGACACACGTACAACAGTCGACACCCGCGCCTCCACAACCACAACCACAACCACAACCACCGCCACCTGCACCTGCTGTCACCACTGCCGCCGTGCCTGGGGTCCACCACCAAATACCGGGCACCATCCCCGTACCCATCGGATTCCCCCCCGAGTTTGATCCCAACGCCATGAAACTGACTCGTGGCACCTCCTGTGTCCTGTGTCAGCAGAGGAAAGTTCGCTGCGACAAGCGGAAACCATGCGCCAACTGTGTCAAGGCCCGCGTCGAGTGCCGCGTCGTGCCGCCGAACCCCCCTCGCCGGCGCAAGAAGCGACTCCAGGAGAAGGACCTCATTGACCGCCTCAAGAAGTACGAGACGCTGCTCGCCGAGAACGGTGTCAGCGTCGACCCCATCGCCCGTGACCTTAGAGTCTCCAGCCATGGCGGCGTCGACGAGGTGACCGATCTCGAGAACGACCTTGAGGGGCTGCACACCTCGCCCGATGGCAGTCAAGCCTCCTCCTCCAAGACAGGCTTCGGTGCCGGCACGCACCGACCCGACAAGTGAGACATAGCCCCTCCCTCCCCGCGAAGTCGCCGAGCTCTTCCGTGACCTCCTTGGACCCTCTCCTGCCCTGCCCTGCCCTGCCTCCCTGCCTATAGTGTGAATGCTGTTGGCTAAAGCTGATCCTCGTGTGAAGGGTGCCCTACAAATGGTTCTTATTCCACCGAGAAGTATGTTGAGCGTGCCGTGACCCCATCACGACAACCAAGTGTCCACCCATTCTTACGCGTGTCCAGTTCCGAGCGAGCGAGGATCTCATGAGAGACTCGTCTGACGAAGAAGAGCTCGATGGCTCGGCTGTTCATCGCGCTTTTGATACGATGTATGAGCATCAGGACGGCTTCCCCTTCATCGTCGGCGCCAACCGCGAGACCTCCGTCTCCCACTATCATCCTACGCCCGTACAAATCTTCGAGCTGTGGCAGATTTACATCAACAACGTCAACCCGCTGCTCAAGATCACGCACATTCCTACCGTGCAGGGGCTCGTCCTCGAGGCCGCCAGAAATCTCGATGATGTCC